CTCCTTACTCTAACCCCCCATAAAAATGCTTCATGGCTCAGAGAGTTTTGTACAGGATGGAAGTTGGAATATACTTTTATTGATTCAGGCACACAGCAAGAGAGAAAATAAGGATGATTAGAAATTAAATCTTCAGATTATCACTTAAGAAAAAAACAGAACAGGAGTTTAATACAGGAAAGGAGTTATACTTTGCACACATGAAACATTTCAGAGGAAGCTTAATATCTTTACATTGGAAAAGAAGAGTCTAGTATCACATGTGGAATAGGTAGACAGAAGTACCTATCATAAAGCAAATCTGTTCAAAATAATAATAGCAACAACAATTACTGAGACTAATTTAATGTAAAATTAATGTGATAAATTAAACAGGTAAGGTGTTTTGAAATTACTTTTAATTTACAAATATATATCTATATGTATATAGATAGATGAAGTAGTGATCTTATCATGCACTGTAACAGTGCTTTCCAAAAGCACTTTATATTCACATTTTATCTCTGAGAGAAAGATGCAGTTCCTGAAATAAATACAACAGTTTTGTAGCTACTTATTTCATCACCTGTAGATTACAGACTCAGCAGGCCAAGCTGCCGAAGAATTAAGTCAGGAGCTTTACAAAACAGTTTCAAAACTTAAAATACTTAAGAATAATTATGAAAAAAAAAATAATTTGGGAAGTAAGAGAATTGCATTTCAAAGTTTGTATGAAAAATAATGGAAATATTTTATACGTTATATAGCAAGTACAGATATAAAAATACAGAGCACAACGTATATCATAAACTCTATTCAGGTATTACAGCACTGTTTTTTCTGATCAATTACAATTATCTACCGTTTCAACTTTAGACAACTTTTGAAGCCTTCTAAGTACATTAGCCAAGAAAAGATCCACAGTACACGGAGATATGCAGATCAAAGTTAACTATGATGAGCCATCTAGTTTTGGAAGGGCTTCAAGGTGTTATCCAGGTAAGCCTGAAAAGTGAGTACACTTGTCTGAACCTACACCAAACTCTTCTTTATTCTGACTACCTTATTTGAAACATAGGCAGATTTTAATTCTCTGGACAATTCAAGAACCTTTTTATTTCCCGTTACTACACATTTCTCTTTTTGTCAAACCTTCAAAGGTCCTACATTTATTTTAATAAACATAAGACTGTCTTTTGTCAACTAACCAGTCTTTTCTAAAGTTGGGAACATTCTGTCAGTTGACCCTAATGAAGACAGTGGTTAGATCAGCAACTGTGGATAATATTTGTGAATCTTGTGACAAAAATGGACAGAATATCACCCAAGAGGTGATCCTCAGTTCTTCAATTTATGCTTCCTAAAAAATAAGTGGAATATTATTCCTTTTTTCCCTTTGATTTTCCTTCTCAGTACAGTCCCTAAATCTCAGCTTAGTCCCTAAATACTTCTCTAAAGTGAGTCCATTCTAAGTGATGATGCACCATTCTCTGCATGGGTTTTCAGATTGGACCAGTAATAGAATACATTTTCAAGAGATCCTCAATTTGGCCTCTAACAAAAATACACAATCATGATATTTCATGCGAAGTCTTAGCATATGCTTTTGTATCAGTATTATTTGCACACATAAACAATGCATGCAGAACCAGCCCTTTTAGAAACCAGGATTTCCACCTTTAAATGTATATTTCTGTATTATGCAGATTTCAGAATAAGGAAAATTTTCAAGTAAAAATCATACGTTAAATCATAGCGTTGTGTATCCTAGATATACCTAATAATTGCAGATCTCTGTTACTTTAAGAGCATTAAATAGCACATAATTGTTTGTGTGATCACTTATACTCTTTTGTAGGCAGAAAGGAAACTTAGTTATTATACTCAGATTATTAAATCAATCAGAAAGCTTAAAAAGAAGAATTTGTTACAAAAAAGAGAGAGAGAAAGAGAGTGGGGGGAGCACTTAACAATCTGGTACTTTGATTTTTTTCTGCTTAGAGCTGGATTCTAACAAGAAATTCAAACTTCATAAACTTCTCAAACAATGAGACATCTTAGGGTCACAAAGATGATTAAGGGATCGGAGCACCTGACATATGAAGAGAGGCTGAGAGAGCTTGGACTGTTCAACCTGCAAAAAGGCTCAGGGGGGATCTTATCAATGTGTATGAATACCTGATGGGGGTGAGGGGAGTAAACAAGATGGAGCCAAATTCTTCTCAGTGTTGCCCAATGGACATAAATTGAAATATAGGAAATTCCATTGAAAAGTAAGGAAAAAAGATTATTTTGAGAGCAGTCAAACACTGGAACAGGCTGCAAAGAGATGTGGCATCTCCATCCTTGAAGATACTCAAACCCCAATTGGACGCAACCCTGAACAACCTGCTCTATGTCACCCTACTTCGACCAGGAGAGGTTTGACTAGATGATCTCCAGCAGTCTGCCGACCTCAATTATTCTGTGGTTCCACAAGTATACAGTGAAAATACAAACAAAAGCATTCACAAGCGGCAAGAATTTTCTAGTATCAACTAATGCGGTAGCACGTAACAACTGCACCTACATCATCTATTGGAGTTATAGCAGTTCTTTCTTCGTACGGCTCTTCGGGTGGTTTTGGTACTTATTCACAATGTAGATGCACAAATGTTCATTGATTTGAACTCACAAGATCAGATTATAAACCTACATATATACTTGCCTGTCTATAAAATGCTGGAATGACTGTCATGATGTTCCTTACCTTTGCTGAGCCATACTCCGTGGAACACTATACCCCAGAGCCTGCTGCTAACAGGGTTAGTGTTTGCAGGTTTTGTGCTGTTTGAGACCCAACACCACCACAATGGGAAAAAATCATGCTCACCCCTTCTGTTGTGGTAAACCATGTAATGTGAAACCAGTTCAAGCTTAATAGCAATTTCATGTAAACCCTTCCTCTTTTGCAAGAGACTCACAAAGTATTACCATCCTAAAAGGATTCGATGAATCTTACATATGCCTATTTTCTTTAATTTTGAATTATTTTCTTCTTTTGTTTTAATCATCATTTTGAAAAGGTCTACATCTGGTTTTGTGTGCTGATAATGTAAGAAATTGGATCTGTGTTTTTAGTACTGTATATTTTTATCATTAACTTGTTACGACCAGCTTTAAAGGACTAGAGAGGAATTGGATACTTTAGGCATAAGTTGTGGTTTTAAGCTGCTTAGAATAAAAAAAGTGCAAAAAAAAATCCCCAGAAGATATCATATCAAGAGGCGATCTGCTTTTACATATTAACTGTAACACAAAACCCCAAACGATACTGTTGACAAGGGGTTTTTTTTCCAGTCTCCCTCTTTTCAGCCTGCTTATTTGTCTCTGACTTCTTTCATGTCATCTCCTTTCTACTTTTCACGTGCATTTTTTTCTTTGATATTTTCCTGCCTTACTTCCCCCAAATAATTTCCCTTTGCTTCTGCAATTTTTGATCTCTCCCTCATAAACAGGAATGCTTCTGCCCTATAAAAACTTTTGTTCTTTCTCCACATAGACCCTTTCTATTATTCTCATGTTGCATTCACTCTGAACCAACTCTATTTCCTTTATTAGATTTTATCTTGTAATTCCAATTGTATAAGATATTTTAATTCCAATTTTTTTTTTTTCTGGTCACACCTGCCCAGACTACCACTGTGAGTCCTACTTGCCTGACACCCTTCCATGCTTGCCTGCACTCTCAGTCTCATCCCTCCTTCCCTCTGCTTACTTTGTAACTCTCTCTTACCAACCTTAGTTGTCTGACTTCTCTTCATTGAGAAGAGGAGATCATCTCCTCTTGATCTTTAACCTTTTGAAAAGCTGTAAATTCCTAATAAAACATTTCTGGCTATTTGTCTATCTCAGTATGTAAAGCAGTTCTCAAGCCCTAAGGCCAAGAGACATTGTCCACAGAGCTAAACTCTCCTCATTTTCCTCCCTCCTCCAGACAAGACATTTGCATCCAAACTGCCAACAGTTTCTGGCATGTGGTATTTCCTGAACTGTGCATTTTTTTGGAAGATGTTAGTCAGCTATGACCAAAACCACGCCAAGGATCACGCTCATACTTAAGCAGGCATGTGATCATGGGCACGGACTCAAACATCCACCCATCTATCCAATCTCCAAGACCCAGCAATTCTCCTCTCTATTTGGATCTGTCTAGTTTATTATCTTTCCTTTGCCTTAAAGAAAATCTGTGCTCAAGACTAAGCTGTGCAAACAAGTGGGGAATAACTGGGGAAGAAGTGGAAGCTTAGGTGAACTTTGCTGAAGCAAGCAGGAGAATTCAACTCATCTGTAACATGAAGAGAGGGAATGTGGCACCACCATCAATAGCTTGACTGTTGGGTGCCTCCATCTCCAGGTGACTCTGTTCATCTCCTTCCTGCAACACAACCTTTCTTAATTTAAATATGTCTAAGAGCAAGTCACTGCTAGGAGATGTTATAGTAACTTTCAAAAGAAAATAGTAGTTTGAGAAACAGATTGTTACAGGACTTTACATTAGTATAAGGCCTCAGGAGACGAATCAAAAATAGAATTTCAGGATGAAAAATTAAGAAGGACGTGTGTGCAGCATGGAGTTATTTTAACTAACTAACTCAGTTTCTTCAGGCAACTATATTCATGATGACATTATTTAATCAAGCAAAGCAGCAAAAAATCAGAAGATATCTGATCTACCAAAAATGAGTATGGAAATTATTGTCTAATGATAGGTAATTCATGCTTTGAAAGGTTTTTTTGTTTATAAAGAAGAGGGAAAAAATTATAAAGGATTATTATTTGCTCAGTTATTTGTATTTTACAGTTCTGAGCTGCCACAATTTCCATTACATACAATACATTTATGTAGCAATGATGTTACATTAGGGGAACTCCTTTGTGATATTTGGGTGCTGGTTTCCTAGACCTAGGTTTATTAATAAGTGGATATAAGCCATGAATTCAAAAGATTGCCCATGTGAAGGTGTTTCTAGTGATCCTACCTGTTGGCGGGATGATTCCAGGAGACATTAGGCCTGGGACAGAATGTGGCATGATATGAGAATTCTCTGGGGAGGTGACACTTTGAGTCCTCTTAGGAGGCCTTCCAGGTCTAGAACTGAAACAAACAAACAAAAAAAATTTTTACAATTAAGCTGTTGTCTTACACATCATTTCAAAGTTGTTTCAAGTGGTAACATGGACTGTAAATAAATTTGTTTCAAGGACGGTTGCTTTTGCAGTTAGATGTAATAGACTTCCATCACTAATTAGATTACATGCTGAATTCATTTTCCTCATTGAAGATCAGCCGCTCTTGATGCATAATTCATAGCCTGCACCTCGTTACCTGCTTCTTCATATTAATATCTATACACAGTTTGAATTGCCTCGTTTGCATATGCTAAAGTTCTGCATGCAGCCTTCAGCACGAAAATTATGCACTAACTTGTAATAATTATTACAGTCAGCCTGCTATTGATTTATGAGACTTTTAAAAACCAAATATGTGTAGTACTTGTAATGAATGATATTTTAAGGTTCTTCAGGAAATTAAAAGGCAATGGCTGCCTAAGGAAATGTTCTGCTTGTTTGATTTAATACTACAGTTAGCTGGGAGGTGGAATGAAAGAGTGATTCAGACCTATAGCACATTTTTCGATGATATGTTTTATTACTTCGCACTGCTAGCCTGATATCTAGATGATAAATGACAATACATATCTAATGTGTGAAAAGGTCTTGCAATTTCTTTATTTTTTGTCATTTAAAAGATAAGTCAAGTTATCATTTAACCCTTATTCTATTTAAAGTGAAAATCTCACTAAGACACCTTACTTTAAATGTACTACTTTATGTCAGAAAGGACGCAGAATTATGTGTAAGGTATTGTTGAGCAACTGCCATCACAGCAGCTTACATCTGTCCAGTATGGAAAAATAAAGGGCTTCAGGTTTAAGCACTCCTTGTCTGTTAAATGCTCACATACACAACTTTACATCTCCTGGACTGTGTAAGTAGCATACAAATTAGATGCGGACTACAATGAAAATACTCATTACCCACTTATGTGCAAATATGTACCTGCTACATCAATGCATATCCAAACGCTTCTATTCTTATGTACAGATCATAACATAGCACTATCGCAATATCCTGTAACTGCCTATGTAGGCGACATTGTGGAATAACTTCACAGAAGAAGGTGATGTGCCGTTCGAACACTGCAGTGTTAACCTGTGCTTTGCCAAACATTCGAGGTTCTTCATTTGCTTCAAAACAGGAAGGAAAAGAAAGGTGGCTATGAAAGGATTTGCTCCTTAGGTCCTCACACTAACAAAACTCTCATCAGGGATAATGGCATTTTTAGCTATGCTGGGACTGCAGGAGGCAGATAATAAAATACCTCTGTTTTCTGTTCATATTTGTTCGCCTTGTGTTTGGAAATAAATAACCTTCTTTTTGCAACTTCAACAACCTACCTTTAATAAACCAAAAACAATCAAAGTACAAGGCATTTTCTTGGAGTTTAATGACTCAAGGCATTGAGTCATTAACCTTAACTGATCATTAATTCCCAACTTAATGTCCTGAGCTCAGGTCATTATTAAAATTATAAGCTTGATAATTTCTTTGATTGGTCTGGGATTTTTGATTTTTTTTTAATACAAACAAAATCATCATATGTTCACAGCTACAAGAAAAACAGTTGTAGAAAAAGAATATTGTCTTATTCCAGCTCATAGAACCAAATTATGTGTCTTTTGTCTGTCTTTTTGAAATTTATTTTGTGATTTACAATAAAAATAAACATACCATGAATACACATAAAACTGATAAAAACATTATAGACAAAAATGATCTGATTTAAATGGAGTGTATCTAATATATTCACCCACCAAAAAAATGCCCTATGTAAGAAAACTTTAATGGCTTAATTTAAATACCTACGATGATGCACTGTTCTCAAATCACTGCTGTGATATAAGTACGGAAGAGTCTGACAATAGCATAAAAACCACAAGCAGGGTGCCATGGCATAATGCACATCCTACCAATGACCTCCAAGTCTTTAAAAAAAAACAAGTTCACTCCTGCAAAGATTCTCTTTGATGAATTAATTCTTACTACCAAAGATAGCCATGGTGAAGTCTGAATGCTTTTGTCTTTGATTTTGAAGAATAAATCCACCCCTCTTCAAAGTCTAAAAGAAGACACCCATGGACCAAGTCTGTAAACGAAGGTTTTTAGGAAATTATAGGTTAGTGATATTGAAATATACAAGGCAAAACTCTTCCTTTGGTCACCTTCTACAATCAAGCACTACTCGATACAAAAGGGCTGTCACACTCAAAACCATAAATGAGCCCAGTAACCCCACTCTAACCCATGATTTATCCCAAACTTTACCAAATAAGTGTTTTCATGAAGTCCTAAACTCCCAATTCCAATCAAACTAACAATATTTAAATGACATTTCTGAGAAATAAACCTCTTTTATCCTGACATAATTTTTAAGTGTCAAAGCACTAGCTCCAGTCTAATATTAAAAGGCCTTTATCTATTTAAGAAATGTTTGTTCCTTATGAGAAGGCAGAAAAACACAAGTAAGAATTTCTTAAGATCTGGAAGATCTGATGTGGAGTCACAGCAGACTATGCAATACACAATTAAAATGAGTAACTCTCTGATTGGTTAAAATAAGCACACACTGATTGTCCCCAATAACCGATTAAGCAATAATAATTGTCTTAATTTGTTATCCATATTATGCACTTGTTTCATTAGCCAAATTCGTAACTTGAAATACTACTGTGTTGGTTTTGCGTGGCAAGGTT